ATTAAGGAGAACTTCAATGGGAGTCTTCATATTCAAAACACGAGTGGGAGTACGATTGATGAGAAAACATGCAGTGGTGAAAGCATCACTCCAAAAACGAAACGGAACAGATGCATGGGCCAAAAGAGTCAGACCAGCTTCAACAATGTGACGATGCTTACATTCTACTGAACCATTCTGCTGATGTGTATGTGGACATGCTAAACGGTGAGTGATCCCAAGCGACTGAAAGTAGGAGTTGAGGTTACGATACTCGCCACCCCAGTCCGACTGAACATGAACAATTTTGTGCTTGAGAAGGCGTTCAACATGTTTTTGGAACTGAACAAAAATGTCAAACACATCAGATTTACGTTTGATAAGATAAAGCCAGGTAAAGCGGCTGTAAGCATCAACAAAACTGATATAGTAATTATGACCACTAACAGAAGTCTGAGTAGGACCCCATACATCTGAAAACACAAGTTCTAAAGGATGTTTCACCTCACGACTGGACTCCGAAAAAGGAAGTTGATGACTTTTCCCCTGCTGACAAGCATCACACACTGCTACATCTTTATTACTAGACACACTAGGAAGCTCATGACGACGCAAAACATGCCGGACAATAGGTGTGACCGGGTGACCAAGACGAGCATGCCACTGTGACGGAGATACCCGAACTCCACTGAACACGCGAGCGACGCCAGGATGCTCCAGACGATAGAGACCTTGGCAGAGCCGCCCACTAAGAAGAATGTCCCTCGTGCCCCGATCCTTAATAAAAAGATCAAAAGGATGAAATTCACAAAGCACATTATTATCACGAGTGAGTTTAGAAACTGAAAGAAGATTACGTGTCACAGATGGAACTCGAAGAACATTGCGAAGTTGAAGACTCCTATTGGCATGTCTAGTGAGAAGTGATGCTTGACCAATATGAGAGATGTGCATACCTGCTCCATTGGCGGTGTGGATCTTGTCGGAGCCATGGTAGGGTTCACGAGTGTGAAGCTTCCCCATCTCACTGGTCAGGTGCTCTGTCGCCCCAGAGTCCATGTACCAGTGGGGATCAATGGAGTAGGACTGAGTGTGTCCCTGTGGCTTTTGCGGCGGCGGACGATCAGCCATGGCGACCTGACGAGCAAAGTTGCGTGTATCCTTCCCGTCATTGCCGAGACCAAGAAAACCCCGCTGGAAGCGCTTGTGACACTTCGAGGCCCAGTGCCCATCACGACCACAAAGCTGGCACACACGTGGACCGCCAGCCCCTGGTAGCGTCGCAGTAGGAGGAGGGGCCAAGGCGGGTGGTGGTGACTGCCCCGAAGGAGCCCTGGATGAAGCAGAGGAGCGACCACCCTTGGTGGCGGCGTTTGCCGAGAGGGCGCCGTTGCCCCTGGAGCGGCGCGTCTCGACTTGTTGCTCAGTAAGCAGGAGGCGTGAAAAGACCTCGTGTGCTGGCATGGGCGTGGAGTTGCCCCTCTCATTGATGATCTCGACTAGGGCGTCATACTCCTCATCAAGACCATTGACAATAAACGAGTTGAACTCGGAGTCGGTGAGGGGTTGTCCAATGGAGGCCAGCGTGTCGGCGAGACTCTTGACTTTGTTGTAGAACTCAGTGGCGGTGGAGTCAAGCTTCTGACACTCCCCAAGTTGGCGACGGAGCCCAGATACACGAGCCTGCGACTGTGCCGCAAACGAGCGCTCAAGAATAGTCCATGCCTCGTGGGACGTCTTGGCGAAGACAACAAGCCCAGCAACGGCCGGAGAGAGCGACCCCTGGATGGAGGAGAGGTTCGCCTGATCCTGCCCTGTCCAGACACGGTGAGCCGGATTATAGACCGGACCGTGCACGCTGTCAACCAGCGCAGGAGGGCAAGGGAGAGAGCCGTCGACATAGCCAAGCAGATAGTGACTCCCAAGAAGCGGAAGAACCTGCGCGCGCCAGAAGATGTAGTTGTCCGACGACAACTTGATGGTGATGAGATGGCCGAAGTGAAACGGCGGCGGCGGCTGCGATCCCATCGAGGAGACTGGCTGAGGTGAGACCACCGTGGAGACAGTCAGAGGGGCAGCCGGCGCGGTGACAGAGGGCGCGATGGCCGCGGTTGACGCCGCGAAGCCTGCCAGCGCGACGTCCTCCGCCACCAGCGGCGCAGTGGCCGAGGGCGCGACAGCCGCGGTTGACGGGGCGGCGGCGGTGTGGGCCACAAGCGCCTGCCCGGGCGAAGTAGCAGCCGGCGGGAGCGCGAAGAGGGAGCCGACGCTCCGTGTCCCGATCGACGCCTGAAGGGAGGCGGCATCCAGCGGCCTCGAGAGAAGTGCCGCGAGGGAGGCCGGCAGAAAATCGGTGGCGGTGGAGCCGGACGCAGCGGCGGACGTCATAGCAGTCGGGCGACGGCGACGGCGGGCGCGGCGGCGGCGGTTTAGGGTTTTTAGGCGGAAGCGGACGTAACCTAGCGTGATACCATGTAAGACAATAGACTTTGGGAGGAACCGGCACAACCCACTAGGGGTGACCTATCACATATATATATATATAATGAGGTGGTATACAACGTTACAATATACACATGTAAATAAAGTCTAACATGGAGAAAGTATCGAGTTGAGATGCAGCCGGATGTGGTGTGGTTCTTGACAAGATTGAAAAAAAGCGATCGAAACGGCGCAGCAGATCGATGGAAGCGGCGTGCACACGCGGCTTGACGGCGATTGGGGCAGCAGGTGCGTGGCGGCGGCAGGGCTAGAGCATACACGACCCAATCAGCACGAGGCGATGGCCTCGTCCGGGTGCGGGTCCAAGTAGGCCGGCGGGGCAAAGCTCGGATGCGGCAAGTGCAAATCACGCTGCTGGAGTCCCCAGGCTAGACGCGTGCGAAGCGGAAGCTGCGAACTAATCGATCTGGAGAAGGTTGGGCAAAGACACGAGAGATTTGTTTTGACAAAAAGAGTTGGCACAAGGCTCAAGAATCAGACCGTGATTGCTACTTAGAAAGGAAAGAAAGATAAGTCCAAAAGCTATGTGTGATTGTATGTGGAGTGGAGTTTGACTAGCGTCATTGGTCTCCTCTGGTAGGTGCATACAGGAAGGCTACATGAGACTTTATTTTTGGTCTCCTTTTGTTTGGTACACAGTTTGTGTATGGATGGCAGTTGCACTTGAGGATTTGAGGAGTCCGGAGCGTGCTGAGCAGGATCATGCAAACATAGGGCGTCCAAGACATGCACAGATGTGCACGCAGTTGTGATGCAGGGTGGAGTATGATTGCAGTCGGATATGTTCGGTTGGGTCGGACTGAACAGTCTGACGGATCGACGTTGATCGACGTAAGTCGGTTGGTACCGAAGACGGTGGTGAAGTCAGCGACGACGACGACATAGGTGCGTGATGCTGATAGTGACCGACTTCTGGGGCGTGGAAACACGTGGCACAGGCCCGAGGGCTTGTGTGGCTTCAACAAGACTATGGCGCGAGGTTGATTCAAGACGGTGCACACGGAGCTTGAAGTTGACGGGGCGCGAGGGTGGACTGATCATCTACCATGGAGCCATGTCGAAGGTGGAGCTGGATTGAGGGGCTACGGTGTAAGGATTCAGGGAATCGAAGCCTATTCAGCAAAGGCGAAAAAAGCGAGAGGCACGTAGTTCAGACTGGAGCCAGTGGTCTGATGGAAACGTGAAACTCGTCATCGGTCGGTGATGATCGGTGGTACTCTGCAGTGGGGGTTGAGTGGTGTGGTTCACGACCCTTGAGACTCGACCAGGACAGTGGAGGCTCGACGCGGTAATAGCGGCGAGGCGTGCAGTTAGCACGGGACATGGAAACGGGCCAGGGCTCTGGTGGTCATACATGTGGTGAGACAACTGCGAATTTGACTCGGGATGACTACAAGCAACGGTGAAATTTGTTCAAGTTTCAGACAGACGGTCAAGAAAGGAGCAATAATGTTGGGTTTAGATAACTCTTATGTGTGACACCCAATATGTGAGTTGTTCATTTTCACGCAGGTCAGTGATCAGTGTGTGATGCGTTGAACGGAGCTCTGAAAGTTGGGAGCATACACTAGAGTAAAGAGGAATTTAATTTTGCTCGAGTGTTGACAGTGGTCAAAAAAAGAAGGGACTACAAGTTGTAGGTGGAGTCACATGGAATCTTTGGAGTAGCAGCGATACTCATGGGATAAGCTCAAGTTCAATGTACATAGAAGTTTGACGCATGGACAGATTCAGGATGGTGGAGAATATTCGTCAAGGTGGAGTTTGTTGGAGTTGTGTCGAATATAGTGTACAAGGTAGGTTACAGTTGGACTTGTAGTTGTATTGTGTTTAGATAGGATATGGAGTCGTGTCCAAGTAGGACATTTGTATCCTAGGCCTCTCACATATAGCGGTGCTAGACACACGATGTAACCTATGCTAACATAATAGCACCGGAATGCAGGGAAAGCCGGCGGCATGTGCCGGTGTCCAGGGCGACCGGGTGCGGTATTGTGACGGTGTCACGAGGATGTAGCCATATTGGTGTCGTGCCTCGTGTGATTGCTTGGTCCTCGGATGATCAACGGTATGCCTCGGATTTATTCTAACAAGTCTAGATATTCTCAATGCTCACTCTTCATCAGAAAAAAGAAAAAAGAAAGATAAGATAGGGACAAATGTTTATTTCCCTTAAAAGTTCTAGAAGCAATTAAGATAAAATCGGAGCGTCAAAAGGATAAAGAACGAAACCGAAGGGTAAAAGAGGGAGGGAGAGAGATAGAGATAGAGGAAGAGAAGAGATGAATCTTTGTTGACATGTAGAGATGAACCTTCAGAAGTTCAGATATGCTAGTACATAACATAGGCTAAGAGAAGCCAATCGCCACGGCATCTCTAGTAGTGGTGGTGGTGGTGACCTTTACGTACATCCAAAGTAAGTACATCACTCTACTACTCTACTAGTTACACACCGTACACAGCTAGTTATACGCGTAACCCCAATCGTACGTACGTACAGACGTTGTACTTACACAATCCTACGCGTAGATGGCATAGCGCATGCTCTCACGCACCATGAGGTGGCTGACCTCGTCGGCCCGTGGCCGCCATACGCTCGCCGCCCAGGCTTCCTCCGTCGGCAGGTCCTCGCCGTCAAAGCGGACGGCGCACGCCAGTGCCAGGAGCGCCCTGGCCATGGCGCCGCCCACGCTCGGCGCCACCGCCGCGGCGGCGCCGGCATCGCCGTGGGCGCCGAGGCCGAGCGCGCTCTCGTCCACCACCCGCGCCGTAGACCTCCTCCCCCTGCGCCGCCGCCACCGCAGGCCCTGCCGGACGAGCGCCACCACGTCGCCCCACATGAAGACCGCCGGCAAGAAGCTAGACACGGGCGGCACAGCAGTATGGAATGGACTGATCACACGTACGTACGCGCGCGGCCTCTCCTCGAACTCTCACCACCAGAGCTTGGCGGGGACACGGCAGCCGAAGCACATGCTTACGTGCACGCACACTCTTGTCGATCACACGGCTCGCACCACGCCCATGGATCCTCCCGTGCTTGGAGCCACCAGCTGCGTCGTCCACACACACAGCATCTCGGTGGGGGTTGTGGCAGATCACAGGTATGGTATATATGCGCGCTGGTCCGAGGGAACTAGAAGGGAGCGGAGCTGGGGGATGGTGGAAGCACGCAGGGATCACGGTGGTTTATATGGAGGGAGGAAGAGGAGACAGGCGGAAGAAGATGATGGTGGTGGGGAGAGGGGAGCACTCAACGGCACGTACTAGTGGGGTGGGATTCCGCTGTGCGCCTCTGTGGTGGTGGTGGTGCTTGTTTCTTTCCTTCACCGTGTGTGACTGCGACGGGGAGACGCAAGCCAAACCTAAACTAAGGGCATCTTCAGCCGCGTCTTCAGAAAGGTCTCGTCAGGCGTTTTTTTTGCACCGGCGGTGAAAAAAGGCCCAGTCGTATCTTCAGGAGCTCGATTTTCACCGGCCTGGGCCGAAAACAGCGCCGGCGGACCCATGCCGAACCCGGCGCGCTGAGGGATGCTCAAGGGCGACGGAGCGAACTGTTTTGCCGCGAAAAAGCCGCGGGCCAGTCGCGTCAGGGACACGGCGGCTCGTCTTCCCCCAACTGCCTCGGTTCACGCGGGGAATCAATGGCAAGGCTACCGCCGGTCAGCCTTGCCGTTGATTCCTCACGAGCGGCGCGTCACGGGACGGCGCGCCGACGCCTCCCCTCCCTCGCATGCGTACACACGGGCGCGGAGCGGCTATAAAAGCCGGCGGTCTCTCGCCTGTGCCCACACCAGACTCGCCCCTCGCCGCCGCCCAGCCCCTCTCCCTCCCTCTCCGTCTTCCTCTCCTGAGCGCCACCGGCAGCCCCTCTCTACCACCGCCAAGCCCGTCGCCATGGCAGAGCGCTTCCCCGGAGACGAGGCGGCGGCGAACGACTTCGGCCGACATTCGCTCCGCAAACAGGAGTCCTGGCTCCTGTTCCAGGCGAACATCCCGGCGCCGCCGGACATGCGCGCCGGGCCGACGGGGTGGCGGCTCAGCGACGGGGGAGTGCCCGTTCCCCCGTTACCCGACGTCGTGGCGAAGCCCAGGTACTTCGCCGAGGAGGTCGAGGTCGGGCGCGCCTCCCTGACCGACGACGAGCGCTCCCTCCCCCAGTACGCCGCCGGCAATCACGCGACTTGGGCGGCGTACTTCCAGCGCCGCCAGCAGCAGCGCCTGGCCTCCACCAACGACGCGCCGGTGGTCGGCGGCGCGAAGAACAGCGAGGGGCGCCGCCTGTGGTGGGGCGTCCCCGGCCGCACGCTGGATGGCGTGCTGGCGTACCTCGATGGCGGCAACAACCCGCCGTTGACCTATCCTGCGACGGGGGCCGCCCCGTTGCAACACCGATGCGCATGGGCGCCAAGGAGGTTCGCCTCCTCCTCGTCTTCCTCCTCTCGCTCATCTTCCCACTTCTCCGGTTCTCCGGCGCTTCTCGGCGTCAAGGCCGAGCCCGCGGCGGAGACGCCAATCGATCGTCGCACTCGCAGCGTCGGCATCGTCATCAACGAGGGCGGCCGGCGCGCCTCCTCCTCGTCGGCTCCTCCGCGCTTCGTCAAGCCAAAGACGGAGCCGGGGCTAGCGCTGGTGAAGACGGAGCCAGGGCTGGCGCCGGTGAAGGCGGAGTTCGACGACGACGACGCGGCCCTAGAATGGGCGCGCCAGGACTCCATTGCGATGGAGAAGGCGCGCCGGGAGAAGGAGAAGGAGCGCCAGCGCGCCGCCCTGCGCCGCTTCGAGGAGCGCCGACGCGACCGCGATGAAGACGGGGTCGTCGTCTTATGCGACAGTGACGACGACGACGACGCGCCGCCGCCAGTCCGCCATGGCGACGCCAGGCAGGGGTCCAGCAGGGGCGCCCGCGTCAAGGAGGATAAGGCTGACGACGATGATGACGGCGACGAGTTCAGCCCCTTTCTTTTTTAGATTAGGTTAATGTAATGAAAATGCGCGAATTTCACCGAAATTTGCCATGTTTGACCGAAATTTAACTAGTTTTTATCATAACTTCGCCGAACGGTCCTTTTTTTTATTTTAATACGCGCCTGGGGCGGCCATGGGGGCCGACGGCTGAAGACCGACTCGCCCCCAGGGCCATTTTTTGCGCCGGCTCACCCCCAGACGGCGCTTTTAAACGCCCCCTGGGGGGCCAACGGCTGGAGATGCCCTAATGCTCTGCTCTGTGCATGGAAGCAATTGTTTCCCTTTCTTTCTTCGGGATTAATGTTTCCTGGTACTATGTAGTTGTTGTTTGCTTACGGCATAATAACGTCACCGGTGTTAGGCTACTTGTAACGTATAAACTTCGCTCGCGAATCGACCAGGGAGGAATGCACTCCTCCCCTTAATCTTCACCGGCGAGTTTATGGATTCGCCTCCCCTTCGCTTGCCGCTTCAGCGGTCAATGGCGGGAAGAGGATTTCTGGTGCCTCGAATCTGACTAGTAGATAAGTAGGGCTTTAGTCCTCACAGAGACGGCGTTTGGACGGATGGCGGCGCTTCCTCTTCGAATCAGTCTTTCGGGCTCTGATCCTTCTCAAGTTCGTTCGTTGGGACGAATTAGACGGAGCTTCGGCGTAGATTCCTGCCAGCTCATTGGGACAACGAGGTTAGGATTTCTCGTCATGCATACGCAACGACGATATTTGGTGTTAGTTTTTTCAGATCTATTCAAGGATTCAAAAGCGATGACTGCGGCTCCGGGGCGCTGGTCCTTAGGGGCGCGTGCACGAAGACTTCCCAACTGTCATTGACAAGGTCAGTCCAGCTCTGGTATGGAAGCAGCGACAGTGGCGCGTCTGCGGCTCGTTCTGACGGCGGAAATAGTCGCTCGGTGGTCCATGGATCTCGATATAATTTTTTTTATGTTTGATGTGTTTTATACTTTCGATGAATCTTTATAATAAATTTAATCATTTTCGTCAAAAAGAAAGAAAAACATATAAACTCCGTCCTCTAGACTGGAGTCGGAAGTATATGAGAAAATCTTTGTACTCTATTAATATCTAGAGCTAAATACGAAGAGAAAACGAAGACATCTCAACGTATAAACTCCGTCCTCTGAACTGTAGTGGGAAATATATGAGCAAATCTTGTACTCCATTAATATCTAGAGCTAAATACGAAGAGAAAACAAAGACATCTCAACCAGAGCAAGTGCTTCATATTAGAGAGTTCCTGTTCTAACGCTTTTGGAGAAATTCCTGTCGACTACATGTTTCTACTCCATAAGCTAAAGTGATTCCAGTCGCCACCTTTTGTTTTCTTGTTGTTTCTTCAAATATTAACAGGAGGCAATCATCCATCCATTTTGCATTTGTCGAGATCTTGGAGAAATTTTATTCCTGAAGGGATCATGTCAAATCTAAGCCGCTGTTCGAGAATGTATGGCCAGTACTTTACCAATTCGTGTTAGGCTCTGCTTATGTGACGAAGACAGATCGTGCCATGCCGGGGAAGATAATTTTTTTTTTCTGGCAAATACTCTCCTTTTTTTTTTACGAAAATGCATCAATTCTATTGATCAAACCAGCAGTACAAACGTCCCTGAGTATAATAAAAATACATCGAGGTGTGGAAGGTCGTTTTGTTCCTTTCGATCAGGACGATGACACAATCTAACTTTACCTTACTTTGTCTACTTCACCAATTATTTTCTATGGTAGTACTTTTTTTTTGGTGATAAATCTGCAAAGAGCCCCAGGGCTTGTGAAGTTCCCTAGAGCCTAAAACAAAATACTAAGGGTTGTTAGTCTCCTTAGGGTCCATTACAAAATGCCAAGTAACATGTATATTTAGTCTAGTGTCGCTGTACTAAATTAGGAGTCACTTAGTACCTCAGATTTGTGCAATCAATTGCAGCCCTCCGGACGGCAAGGCCTTGCCGGAGGATAACTTGACCCAAGCCTTAGAGCATCTCCAACGGCCGCATAAAAATTTAGCGCTCAATAAAAATTATAGCGCATGACTTTAGTACTTTTAGTGCGTCGCGACCAACATCGCTTTTGCAGACGTCCAAAAACGCGCGCACAAAAAGCACACTGTGTAAATTATGAAGCGCGCGTAATCTGAAGCCCAAAATATGCTGCGCGTGATAGCGTTTTTCAGCGCGCGCCCAAAAACTTTTAGCGCTACAGCATCTGCTGGAGCTGTGCGGCGCCCAGAAAAACAAAATTTTAGTGCGCGGAGCTTTTTTTGGGCGCCTGTTGAAGATGCTCTTAACGCTTGGTGATGTCTCATACACAACTTTATTCTTGTAGACGTGATTGGGCCTCAAGGTGCAAAGTTTTGTAAGGCAGTAGCAAATTTCCCTCAAGTGGATGACCTAAGATTTATGAATCTGTGGGAGACGTAGGATGAAAATGGTCTCTCTCAAATAACCCTGCAACCAAATAACAAAGAGTCTCTTGTGTCCTCAACACACTCAATACAATGGTAAATTGTATAGATAAACTAGTTCGGCGAAGAGATGGTGATATAAGTGCAATGTGGATGGTACATATAGATTTTTGTGATCTGAAAATATAAAAATGGCAAGGTAACTAGTAACAAAAGTGAGCAAAAAGGGCATTGCAATGATTAAAAACAAGGCCTAGGTAACTAGTAACAAAAGTGAGCAAAAAGGGCATTGCAATGCTTAAAAACAAGGCCTAGGATTTATACTTTCACTAGTGTGAATTCTCTCAACAATGATAACATAATTAGATCATATAACAATCCCTCAATGTGCAACAAAGAGTCACTCCAAAGTCACTAATAGCGGAGAATAAACAAAGAGATTATTGTAGGGTACGAA